GCTGCGCCGTGCAGGCAACAATAAAATGGATGTAGAACATATGATTTCAGAAGAACAAATAGCAAAAACAAATAAGGATCTTTTTTGTGAAGCTGCTTGCAGGTTCTGCCTGAAGGCTGCAGGAAAACAACTCCCCAAGCAGGGGGCTGTAAATGTTGTGTTAAACTCCCCAGCCCAGGCTCAGGGGAATCCTGGGCCTGACTCTTGTTTTCCTTCCAAAATGACACGTTCATATACCCAGTTAATGCCACCTCCACTTGGGATGTGATCCAGCACTCCTGAAATAAACTTAAATCCTTCCATAGCCTTCAGCTCATGCTAAATCAGCTGCTCCTCTGATTCCTGCTCTTTCTCCCATTCCTCCCTCCCACTAGTCAGGACTTTTCCTTCCCTGGCACTGCACAGCTTAGCTCATCAAGCCAGCAACAGCTGTCCCGTGCCTACTCCAAACCCTGGGAATGTCACCTCATTTATCTGGTCCTGCTCTGCCCATCCTCTCTCCAGACAAAAGTACCTGGTAGATATATTCACTTTGCTTCCCCAGCTCTCTCTCCTTGATAACATTTCCCTTTTCCTCACCACCTGCAGCCACCAGCCCGCTGCAGCCCTGGCCAGACCTGCTCCAGGCCCAGCACATCAGCTGGACATAGCCATGCAGAGGCACAGCAGGCAGGGGAAAACCTTCCCTGGCACCCAAGAACACTCTGGAGCACACACATTGCCAGGAGGAGATATTTATTTTGCCCTGACTCAGCTCAGCACCATTCCCTAACTCTGCATCCTGCTCTGGCAGCCATCTTCCAGGGGAGAGGGAGAACAGCAGGACCAGTCCCCAGTCCATGGATCTATTTAGAGTCCAGATCTCTCTGTGCGTGTGGATATTCTCCCTTTCTAAAAAGCTGCTCTAAGTGGCCTGGAAGGAAATGGGCCAAGGTCTTTACAGTTGTTAAAAATCTCATGATACTTTTGCAAGCAGGATGGTGTAAATCAAACAACTGGGCACAAGCTTCCACGGTCTGGGTAATTTATATTCTGCCTCACTAAGTTCATCTCTGCACTTCCAATGCATGAAGTGATTTTTCACTTCCCCTGTAGTATTCGCTGGCACGGAAAAGCTGCTGGGCTCTGTCCCAGAAGTAGCTGCATTTCATCACCGGGTGAACGATCCCTGCTCGCACCGGGCCGGCTCCCCGCAGGCTGCGCTCGCCCCGCGGCTCCGGAGCGGGAGGAGCGGCCCGCACCCGCCCAGCCGCACCGGGGCTCCAGGAGCGGAGCCCCGCCGGCACCGAGCGCCCGGCCCCGGCCCCTCCGCTTCATCCGCGGCTGGGGATACGGGCGGGGGATGCGGGAAGGGATGCAGGCAGGGATGCGGGAAGGGATGCGGGAAGGGATGCGGGAAGGGATGCAGGCGAGAATGACTACATGCTGAAGAATGCGGGCAGGAATTCGGACAGGGGTGCGGGCAGGGGATGCTGACGGCGAATGGAGGCAGGGGTGCGGGCAGGGATGAGGGCGGGGGTGCGGGCAGGGGATGCTGCCGGGGAATGCGGGCAGGGCTGGATGGTGATGCGGGCAGGGACGGACGGTGATGCGGGGAGGGATGATGCGGGCAGGGATGGAAGGTGATGCGGGCAGGGACGGACGGTGATGCGGGCAGGGATGATGCGGGCAGGGACGGACGGTGATGCGGGGAGGGATGGATGCTGATGCGGGCAGGGACGATGCGGGCAGGGATGGATGCTGATGCGGGCAGGGATGATGCCAGCAGGGCTGGACGCTGATGCGGGCAGGGATGATACAGGCAAGGATAGGCGGTGATGCGGGCAGGGATGGTCGCTGATGCGGGCAGGGGTGCGGGCGAGCCCCGCTCCGCTCCGCGCTGATCCGCGCCTGGCGCTCCGTGGAGCCACAGCGCCCCCTCCTGGGGCCCGGCGGCACCGCCCGCCCTCCGCGCTGGCGCAGCCGGGCTGAGCCGAGCTGAGCGGAGCTGAGCGGGGCTGAACGGGGCTGAACCGGCTGAACCGGGCTGAACCGGGCTGAACGGGGCTGAGCCGGGCTGAACGGGGCTGAGCCGGGATGAGTGGGGCTGAGCTGGGGTGAATGGGGCTGAACCGGGCTGAACGGGGCTGAGCTGGGCTGAGGGAGGCTGAACAGAGATGAACAGGGTTGAGCCGGGCTGAGCGGGGCTGAACTGGGCTGAACCGGGCTAAGCCGGGCTGAACGGATTTGAACTGGGCTGAGCGGGGTTGGACAGGGTTGAGCTGGGCTGAACAGGGCTGAACAGGGCTGAATGGGGCTGAGCCGGGCTGAACCAGGCTGAAAGGGGCTGAGCAGGGCTGAACAAGGCTGAGCAGGCTGAGCAGGGCACGGGGTGTGTTCCCTTTTTGGGGGATCCCTCCCTGATTTCCCACCTTTGAACGCCGTGTCTCACAGTGCTCGGAGCTTCTTCACCCTCATTTACGTTCTTCAGTGATTTTTTCCAGCCCTCCCCAATCAATTTTTTCCTGCTATCTCAACATCTCTGCATCAGCTGTAAATACCAAGTCCTGGGTAAAGTCTAGAAATCCCCATCCATTCCTGGGAGCTGGGTGCAGATCCCTGGCTCTGGAGTCAGTTCCTGCCACGCTCTCCCGAGCAATGCACCTGGAGAAGCTGGTGGGGCTCCTGCCTGCTCAAAGATGGGAGGATTTGGCTTTGAACTATTTCTGTCACAGAGACAACAATGACTATTGTTTGCTGGCAGACCCATTCCCACGGAGTGTTTAGCATCCGCCTTACACATACTCCCAATGTAGTAAACACTGGTGGTTAGGAGGGAATAGAGACAAATCCCGTGCCGTTTCTTTTGGGACACATTTTACCTAAAACTAGCCAATTCACCATATGTTCCTCCTCTCCAAAGTTTTAACACAGACTTTAGTCAGCCTCATTATATTCCTGCTCTTGGAGGCTTGTGTCCTCACTAGGCCCTATGGAAAGAGGGGAAGAGAAGGAAGGTCAGAGGGGGATGTTAAGCACCTCTAACACCAGTGACATCATCCCCCTGTGCCCACTCTCATTTCTGATCAAAGGAGCATGCAAAGGGAGCATCTGTCCCCTGAGGATGAGAGGGGCTTTCTCTGAACCACAGTGAGACTGAAGTGGAGCCTTGCATTGTGTGTTTTAGCCATCCATGTGTGTGTGGTTCTGCTCACACACACTCACACACATTCTAAAGCCATGTAACTCCAGCAGAGCTCTTCCCATACTCCCAGACTCCAGCTCCTGATCAGAGAAGGCATGATGAGTATGGAAATGCCACCTCTCCCCCAGCCATTTCCCTGCTTCCCTGCCTGCTGCTCGTCTGCCTTTCCAGTAGTGAAATCATTCCCGAGTCCTGGGAATCTGCAAAGAGCTGTAAAACAAGCGTAGACACACCAAATGTAGAGGGTTTTCTGCTGAGTTGCAAAGGGCTTTGGAGTCAGACAAACCCCAAATCAATGCTTGGAGCCAACTACAAAAGAAGAAAGCTACACTGGAGGAACAAACCACCTACAGCGAGCCCTGCAAAGACGACAGCATGTGTGTGTGTGTGCTCATGTGAACTTCTGAAGGTTTGATTTACATAATAAGAATATCAGTGCAGCTATTTCTGCCCGTTCAGTGTGCGTGGATCCCACCTGTGTGGCTGAGCGTGCAGGAGCTGCAGGGCTGCAGAGCTTGGAGAGGGGTTTGCAGAGCGAGCCCGAGGGGCTGTGTCTGAGCCTGGGGTGGGCTGTGAGCTCCACAGCATGTGCTGCCTGTGCCTGGCTTGTACATGCTCCAGGGAGAGCACGGTGGCTTGTCTGGGGTGTGTGGGAGGGAGAGAGTCCAGGGCTGTCTGTCTGCTACTCGCAAGCAGAGCTGATCGATATTTTTCCTTTATAAGGAATTTTTTTTTTTTTCAAAAGCCTTTCATGTTCCTTACACCAAAGCCACATCTCCTCTTTACTCGCTCCCTCCTCCTCTCGCTGTCTTCCCAAATACTTCTCTACAACTCCTGGGAAAGCAGATTTACTGCCATGAACACATTATTATTATGCAGCCAGATGAGCAGCCAGAGTAAAGCATGAAGGACCCTTCTGTCCTGCCTAGTGCAGATGTCAATCACACGGCTAAATTCAAACACCAATTCTGCCAGCATTTCATCTGCTGCTGGGCTCCCTCCATGAAGAGGAGACTGCATCCAAGAAGTGACACCTCCTCCCTTTCCCCACTCTCAGGTACCAGCACGGGGGAACTCTCCAAAGCCAAAACACACACACCTATAACCCCCCTCCTCTCTCCAGATGGTCTCTGGGGCTTTAGACCCCGGGGATGATGCAATGGCATGGAGATGCCCTCCGTCCCGCCATTCCACAAGGACTGGAAAAAGGCAAAGTTACGCTCCACACCAGCCTCGCAAGCAGCACGGAACGGGGAAAATGAATGTGGGGAAAACCCATCTCCAGCACCGTGGGGTGCAGCTCCCCGCCATCCCTACCCTCCCCCGGCTCTGCCGCTGTCTCCCATCCCCGCTGGAAGTGGAGGCAATCAGCCCAGTGTGGGATTCGAGGCGACAGACTTTCCTTTTCCTCCGCGATTTGCTTGTCACTTGCGAAAGCGGAGCAGCGGATTAACTGGAGATGACACCATCTCCTTGGGGACGGTCCCCCCCTGCTCCGGGATGTACGGATACTCCGGAATACAGATGGATCCTGGCTGCCTGCCACCCCCACGGCCAGCCCAGCCGCGCCGGGGCTGAACCCCAATCTCCGGCCATGCTCCGGGCGTGGGGGGGGCTGCCCCAGTAAAAACCAGCGCTCCCAGTGCGCGGATCCCGGCACCACGCGTGCAGAACGGAGCTGCGGGACTCGGCCATCCATCCCCGCGGGCAGGGGCAGCGGAGGGGCCGCGTTACACAACGCGCGGCAGGACGGGGGAGCCGGCCCCGGGCACGGGCAGCGCCGCAGCCGCAGCGCAGCAGCGCTCGCCCGCCTTACCTGATGCTAATGTCCCTCTGTGGCGGAGATCGGCTCGCCCGTGGCTTTTATTCGGCTCGGTAGGAACTTGTGGGAGAGCTTCTCTGTCCAGCTCGCATACTGGGTGCGGGGCTGAGACTGCAGGCGTGAAAATCCTGGGGCTCTAGCAGTCCTTTTCATGCTCAGACAGAAAATCCCCTTCCTTGATCCAGATCGCGGGCATTAAGGGCAGAGGCAAGGGAAAAAAAAAATAAAATTCCGCTTCTCCCCTTCTTCCTTTTCCTTTTTCTTGCTTTTTTTTTCTTCCCCCTTCCTGTGCCCCCCCTCTCTTCTGCTGCTCAGTTCGTAGCCATCGGGGGAAAGAGCAGAGGCAGCAGGGAGAATGGAGAGGGGGTTAGAAATAAAAATGAAAAGAGCTCCAGGAGGGAAGCGAGAGGCTGGGCTTGCCACCGGAGGAGGGGCTTGGAGCGGGCTACAGAGGATGAATGGGGAAGAGGAAAGCAAGGCGGAGCCCCGGCTTGGCCATTTTATTCTAAGAAGTGTTTTGTACATAATTAGAGAAGGGGAGGGGCGGGGGGCAAAAAAGGAGGGACTTAAAGCTCCGGCCAGACGGAGTCTGGGCCGTGGGAAGGGAGGGTGAGACCGGGAAGGGCCGCGGGATGAGGATGCGGGAGGGGTCGAAACTTGTCCGCAGAGGGGGTCTGGGGAGGAGGCTGCAGCGGGGCCGGTTGCCATTCCAGGAAGACCCCATCTATTTAATTTAATTTTTTTTTTCCTATCCCCACGCCTTCAGTTTTCTCCTCACGGACCCGGAGAGCTCCCGGCTGGTGGGAGAGCAGGATGGGCAGGATGGGCAGGATGGGCAGGATGGGCAGGATGAGCAGGATAGGCAGGATGGGCAGGGTGAGCAGGGTGGGCAGGATGGGCAGGATGGGCAGGGTGAGCAGGGTGGGCAGGATGGGCAGGGTGAGCAGGATGAGGAGAATGAGCAGGATGGGCAGGATGGGCAGGATGGGCAGGGTGCTCCCGGCCTCGCTGCGGGGATCCCGGCTCTCCGTGGGGAGCGAGGCCGTGCCGAGCCGCTCCACAGCCCCGCCGGGCGGGAGCGTTTCAGCACCGCGGACAGCGCCGGCCGTGCCGGGAGAGCCGAGCCGAGCCGAGCCGAGGTGAGCTGAACTGAGCCAGGCCGAGCTGAGCCGGGCTGAGCTGAGTCGGGATGAACCGAGCCAGGATGACTGAGCCGGGTCGAGATGAGCTGAGTGGGGTCGAGATGAGCCGAGCCGAGCTAAACCGGGCCGAGCTGAGCCAAGCCGAACTGGGCTGAGCTGAGCTGGATCGAGCTGAGCCTGGCCGAGCCAAGCTGAGAGCAGCTGAGCTGAGCCTGGCTGAACCGAGCCAAGCAGAACCGAGCTGAACTAACTCTGGATGCAGCCAGCTGCGCTCCCAGCCTGGCTGTGCCCTCCAGGCGAATGTCCCTCTGCTGGGTTTGGGGATGGCTTAGGATGAGGAATGGAGATGGGACTGATTCAAGGGCATGACCCACAAGATAAACCCCAGGAGACCAGCAAAAGCAGCCCAGTGTAGGGGCAGAGCTTAACAAAACTGCGATGTGAGGTTTCCAGACAGGGACCCTGAGGTTTCCAGACACTACCCCGAGGCAGTGGTGGGGCCAGGCTGGGCTGGGCTGGGTGATGCTGACAGCAGGAAAAAAATCAGCCACCTTGTGCACGGTATGTGGGCCAAGGAGGGCAATGGGAGATGCCTTCCTTCCTGCAAGGACAAGCTCTTCTCTGGTCTGCAAGGACACTCTGTCCTTCTCTCACCCATCCCTTGTGGCTACAGAACATTTTCTTAAGCTAAATCTTCAGCAAATCTTTCCTAAGCAGAATTAGAAGCTTTTTCGTTAGCTCCAAGCTGCTCCAACAGGGCTGAAGCTCAGCTTATGTCAATGGCAGGGTGCCCAAATCTCCTGAGTTGTGCCTTTTTTCCAAGGGGTTGTTCAGCCACAAAGCACACTTCCTGGTGAGCCACCTTGGATTCTGTCACACTGGCTCAAACAAAAGACTGAAATGATTCTCACAGATTCCCCTGGTGCAAGGCCACAGAAAAAAAACTCCACAGCAGGGAGAATTCAGGAATTGGGTCTTACACAGAACTTATAAACAAAGTCCAAGCCCTTGTTTAAACAAATAAATGGTACTTGGGGTTATCACCAGTGTGTTTTTTCATTGATGCTCTTGGCATTTACCAGAAGTAGAAGGGGAAGCCTTGTGTCCTACATGAGTCTGTTTGGAATTAATGCAAAATTATATGAACCTGCAGTGCAGCCATGTGGGATTTGCCAACTCAACCAATGCAACAGTTCTGGGTATCTTTCATCACTGCACCTGAGAAGGCTTCTGTGATTTGGTCTAGCAGGTTTGGCACCACTCAGAATGATATTCCATATTCCTGTGAAGAGGGAGAGAGAGAAAACAAGTGAGATGATACTCTTCAGGCACCCAAAGGTCTCACAGACCTAGGGAACATTTCACCACCCAAGGGCTGTGTCAAGGGAGGGTCAGGTTGGATATCAGGGAAAGGTTCTTGTCCCAGAGGGTGCTGGCACTACCCAGGCTCCCCAGGGAATGGACACGGCCCCGAGGCTGCCAGAGCTGAGGGATTGCTTGGACAACACTCAAAATGACAGGGTGGGGTTGTTGGGGTATCTGTGCACGGCCAGGAGCTGAATTGAATGATCCTGGTGGGTCCCTTGCAACTCAGGGTATGCCATAATTCTGTAATTCTGCGATAAAAACTCTCTAGGAAGTAACACTCCCATCCACAAAATCCAAGTCAACCAACTCCTGGGGCAGATGTCCTGCCCAGAAATAAGATTTTCTATCAATATAATAAAAACAGAAATAGAGGAAAACATAAAACAGTGTAAAAAGAGTAGTTTAGCTTATGCTTTTCCCTGTCTGCCCCCCTCCAGTCACACATGCACTGCTGGTGCCTTGTTCCCAAAGCTGTCACTGTCTCTGTATCAAAAGAGGATTATTTGGTGCACTGAGTATTCAACATGTTCTCTTACAGTATTGTTGTGTTCAATGAGCTTTGCTCATCTGAATGGACACTCACTGCATAGTCCACTGGTTTAATTTGCTGCTTTGGAAACCTAAGCAGGTTACAGCATATTTGGCTATGTGTCTGTTCTTATGTGTCAAAGATAAGGTTTCTGGATGCCATTTTTAAAAACAAAATTATTTCACTTCAGTGGCTTTCTCTTTTCAGTGGTCTCTTCTTTTTAGTCTTGAGTATTTCAACTCACCTTCTCCCTATAATGAACAAAGCCTGGATCTTCACCCCAAATCAGCAAAGCTCCATTGAGCAAGGATTTCTATTTCTTCTTCCAGTAAGGATTTTTTTTTTTTGAGCTTTTAACAATTTTAGCACATCCAATCCTCACTTTTTTTCACCCTTCTTTCCACAGATACCTTAAAAGAAATGTTTGGATTTCTTCAAACTATAATATTGTTCATTATGAAAAAAGAAGCCAGTCTATCAGTAGAAGAGAAATTCACAACACATAGAGTTAAAAGAGACAGTCTCCAATTTGCATGCACTGGGCAAACAAAAACATATGGTAGTGATGAGGATGGGGAAACAGTAATTTGGGAAACAGTAATCTGGACTCTTTAGTAGAAGTTCAGGAAGAAATCACATGGAACTGAGAGACCTAGAAAGCAGAGAAGTGCCCATGTTGATCACTCAACAGCTGCCACAATGATGGACAAAGAGGTTTTCTTGGTGTGTTCCAGGTGTGCTGTGGGTGTGGGTTTACCCCAGTGTTCAGCTCAACACAGCACAGTCATCCCCTCACTGCCCTCCAGCCTGCACTCCAGGGGCCTGGGGGAAGAGGAAAAGGCAAAAAAATCAAGAAAACTTGATGATCAAGAGAAAAAAATTTCAAAATTGGAGCAGTAGAAAATTATTAAAAGAAAACAAAAGAAGTGAGACAAAGGCAAGCACTCACCATGTCCCGCAGGTAGACCAATACCCAGCTGGATCTCAAACAAAGATCACTAATCTAACTAAAATCCTCTTTTCCCCCTTTTTGCTGCTGAGCAAGATGTTCATTATCGAAATCATCAGTGTGTTAACAACAAATATTTTGGTCACAGACCTTCAACAGGATCCTTTGAGCTGCTATAGAGGAAATTCACTCTACCCCAAACAGGCCAGCACAAAGCGCCATTATTATCTCTTGCAAAAGGAGCTGTATGTGCCAGCTGCACACAGTAAATTCTTCATCTCTGTTTGTGATTCTGCAGCAAAGCTCATCCAGAGTCCCATGAGCTGGTGAAGATATTCAGACTCCACTCTGTGTTCTTCTCATGCTACAGGCAAACTCTTCTCTCCCACATATCCTGTTGTGTTGTCCTCCTTGAGGATGCACAATGTATTCTTGTCAAGGTTTCACAGACTTCATTGTTTATTACAGGCTAAAAATGGATTAAACTTGCTTTGTGAGCATTGTATTGATATTCTGGTGCTCTCCCAGTCTCTTGTGAAATATATTTCCTTTTTTTCCTCTGCAAACAATACCACAGCAAGCAGTGATCTTACCCAGGCTGTGCTTTGTGCTGGCTGCAGAGAAATCCTGTGCACCAACCAGATCCATCAGCTGCTGGCATCCCTGAACAGCTGGAGGAGCGTCCCAGTGCTCCCCAAGCAGCATGGGTGACACAAAGGGCTCCACCAGGCTGCTCTAATGGATGGCAGCAAAAAGGCTGTGAATGGGCTCAAGGGTCAGGGCAAGAGACAGGGAGCATGCAGAGCCTGTTCCCATCACCCCCAAATGCAGAATTAAAGGTTAAAGTTGAGTCTTCTGCAGTGGCTGGGGAAATGATGAAAATCCCAGCCAAGACAAAATGCTGGCAAGGTCCCAACAGAGTGGGAAGAAGCAGTTGGGAAATGTTTTGTTGTTGTTTTTGTTTTTGTTTTTGTTTCTTATAGGAGTTTCTAGTTCCCTTGCATTAAACTGAGTAATCATTCTGTGCAGTTCTTAGATATCTTAAAAATTCTGAACTCACTCATCTGTCCAAATAGGTTCTCCATCTTTGCATTGTTCCTAAATTAATATATCCCAAATGTATCCATTTGGATAAATCTCTTTCCTGGTTCAAACTAACAAAGGCAGAAATGCCACAACTTCAGAATTGAACTCCAGCTGTCCTGGGCACCCACCTTTCAGGACAATTGTTCTGAGCACCATGACCTCCTGGGATTGCAGAATTACATTTCCAGTTTCATGAGATTCACCTTTCTAATTAGCTTTTTTTGTATTTTTTCCTTCTGGTCTGCTTCTTAGCAGATGTCTTGTGAGAAAGAAGTAATAATGATTTGTCTTTCATTGAAATTTAAAATTAGGCAGCCACCACTCTG